TTCTGGTTGTTTTCTGCCTCCCCTTCCAGATCGAACTTGGATCCTTTCAATCAGTACAGTGAGGAGCAAATCTGGGCTGCTTTGGAAAGAACTCATATGAAGGAGTGTGTAAGTATCATGTGCCCTGTGAGATACATGTTTGTATTTGGTTTCTAAACCAACATATTCTGTTAGTAGCTACTTTAGATAAAGCTTTCTCCCCCCTCATTTTCAATGCTTTATTTGACTGATTTTTCTTTTTCCCCACTATTTTATCAGACTGTGTTGAGGTTTTTTTTGAGAACATGCTGTATTCTGTGTCTGTACTCTTTTTAGTCAATAGCATAGCAGAGTGCTGCTTCATCACAGGGATTCTTAAGGTGTTAAAACGTTTCCAGTGATATTTTTACCCTTCAAGTGATATTTTTCTATATATGCCTTAGGTGTGCATTCTGCACTTATATTTGTGAGTGTGCATGTCACATGTGCATGTTTATACTGAACTTGTAAGTCAAGTGGCACATATAGCTATGGAACACAGGCTGCAGGAATTCCTGCAGGCACTAGGTTCACTCTCTTCTCTTGATAACAAAGATTATCAGGAGATCTGTATTTATGTTTATAAGATTTTGTGCAATGCTCTAAGATTTTTTGCCTTTTCCTTCCCCCACAGGTTGCACAGCTACCTATGAAACTTGATTCAGAAGTAATGGAAAACGGGGAAAACTTTTCTGTTGGGGAGAGACAGTTACTGTGCATAGCTAGAGCTCTACTGCGTCGCTGCAAGGTGAGCACAACAATGAGAGAAACAGCTGGAGATATCAAACTGATAGGAATGAACAAGCCTTTCTGTGCCAGATTCTGCCAGAGGAATCACATCAATGATTAGATTAGGTTAGAACAACTAGGAAGGCATTTGTAGCCAGCTGTGAGCTCCTGTAATGTCCTGCCATTGGAAAGGCACTGCTTGCCAGTGTTAACAATAGTGTGTCAGACTGGTCTGATAATTTCTTCAGTGTCCTGTTAGTGGTGAGCATCAGATTTTTTCCTTCTTCCACTTTTTTGTGAGTGTGAGCCAAGTTTTTTTCCATCTACGTGGTACTCCACTAAAATGTGATCTACAAATGGAATTTGGGATCATGCTGTGCCAGCAAAGTGAAAGGTTTTACAGAAATAGAAGACAAACAATAATTACAGTGAGAAAGATGAAAGCAAGTGTGATCTATAGGGTAATTTTGAAGGCAATTACATCAAGAAAACTGAAAGAGTGTTTGTGAAAACTACCTTTGTGACCACAACTCTGTAAGGATTGCCAGTTGTGACAACTCTTGGCCATGGCAATTCTGTCCACTCTACGTATTTTTATGTTTAGGGAGGGAAAGCATGACTATGAGTAACAGCCAGGATTCTGTGCTGCTTTCAGATATTGATCCTTGATGAAGCAACAGCTGCTATGGACACAGAAACAGACCTACTGATTCAGGAGACCATCAGAGAGGCGTTTGCTGACTGCACTATGTTAACAATTGCTCATCGCCTGCACACGGTACTGGGCTGTGATCGGATCATGGTGCTAACACAAGGACAGGTGAGCAGGAAGGCTTCTGTTGCTGCAGCCCCTGTTGCCTGGCGATGCCATGTGTGCAGGCTGAACTGGGGCAACAGCTAGCATTACAGGGTGGGAAATCCTCTGTGTTCATTCACATCCTTGGTAAAATACTCCAACACAAGCAGTTGCTGCCTGACTGTGACAAGATCAGAGGGCAAAATATCTTTTACACTCCAAGAAAGTATCATAGAGTAACAGTCTGTCTTTAAAAGTGTTTTCAAATCTCCATTTGTCTCAGAATTAACCTACATCTCTGGGACTTAGTGGTCGTTTCCCATTACTTTCATGAAGCCTTGTGCCATCAAGCAGGTCCATGACAGATGTTTAACCTATTTTCAGGCTTCCATTTGGGAGCCACAAGCAGTTAAGTGCAAGAATAGTGGGCAAGACTCTTAAAGGTAGAGAAGGCAAAAGCCCATAGAATCTGCCTCTGCCAGAGCCATCAGAGGTTGCTTCCTGTGAGTTAGTTCCAATGTTTGAGCCAGTCCAAAGCATTCCAGGTTACAGTATGTGTCCATAAACACACATACTTTCACTGCCTGTTGTCTAATCGAAAGATGAATGCTGTGTTTTTGATTCTTTACTACCATGTCACAAGTCCAAGGGGTAGGAATCCATTTTCTGCTGGATTTTACTGACATACTTTACGTGCCTTGTTTGCTTTTAGGTTGTGGAATTCGACACGCCGTCTGCCCTTCTGGCCAATGAGAACTCGCGCTTCTATGCTATGTTTGCTGCTGCGGAGAACAAGGTTGCTGTCAAGGGCTAAAATTCAGGGCAAAGTCACTTTAATTTTGGAGAGCTACACTCCCTGCCTGTGGCAGGCCAGCTCTCCCTCCTCCTCCTCCTCCTCCAAGCAGATTATTGCCTTTTCATCTTTTAATTTTTAGCACAATGTGTCAAGCCAGAGAGTTTTTAAAACCATGTCAGAAGAACTCTTCATGTTTTTATTATTGTATTTATTCCATATTACTAATTTTTTGTTATTAAATGCACTCTACAAATGGCTCAGGGAGCCATAGTTATAAATGTATCAGAGGCCTATAATGAAGCTTTATACATGTAGCTATATCTATACATATTCTGTATATAGCCTATATTTACAGTGGAAATGTAAGCTGTTTATTTTATATTAAAATAAGCACTGTGTTAATAGCAGTGCATATTCTTTTCTATCATTTTTGTACAGTTTATGGTACCAGAGATCTGGCTTTGTTATCGGACTGTATCAGACACCGTTTTGTCTCTTACAGTTCGTCTTTTCCTAGTGCCGGATTTTCTGTGTGTCTGAGTGGAAGTGAAGCTTTGCAATAGTGTCCTTTATTGTCACATCTTTGTCTAGCGCAGCAGAGAAGAGCTCTGTGGTGTAACTATTGCATTGTAATTTATCAAAGCTATTTGGAGCATCGCTAATGTTCACCACGGCAGCGGCTGCTGCTTCCCATGATGCTTTTCCAAAGCAGGGTTTTTAGTGATCTGAGTGGAGAATCACTCCTGGGTCACATTAAGGCCTTGTATTTTCTCAGTGTCCTGACACAGTATTTCTTACTGTATCAGCAGAGTTTATTTTAATGCAAGCAAGCCCAAGCTCTTCCTGCTTCGCTGATCTAACACAACCAAAATCTAACTGTTCGTGGAATGATCTGTGACAAATTAATCATAAGGTTCAAATCATGCCCTGTGTGGTAGCAGGAAAGCCTTTCCAGAGTTGCTTGAGCTGACTGACTCCTTTACCTTGAAGCTGCTAACACTCCTCAGAGGTTTAGGTTGGCTTTCACTGGCATGGGTAACACTAACTCTTTGTTCTGCTCACTTATACTAAAATTAAACAACATCAATATTTCCTGTTCCTTTACTGCACACTTGTTAAGGAAGCAGTCCTCGACCCCACGTCTTCTGGAACCTTAAACAGGTTCCTGTTGATCAGGATGTAACACTGGTGTAGGACATGGTTTTCTTACTGTAAATGACCTACCTCAGGTTACTGGGTCCTGCGTAGTGCATTGCCATGATCACTGTACACCATCCCCATTTTTGGGACCTGTGGCCCAGGGGGACACGGTTGCTCCTATAATAGCTGTGACTTATTGAATGGTCAGCGTTGCATGTCTTTGTCAACTTGGACATTTTGTAGCCTTAGCATGTTTGCAAAATGTCTCATTGAGGCAGAAATCTGAAAAGTAAATAAAACTATTTTGGGTTTTGTAAATTTTATTGGCTTAAGTGGTTTGTTTTGGGCATATAAATGACTTCTCACCTTTTTGAGCCCTGGGGGACAGGTTTGCAGGCTGGTTTGGGGTTTTTTTCTGGTCATACGCCGTGGTTTGATCTTTCTTCAGAGTAGAGGTGTTTCTTTAAAAGTGTGCTCTCCAGCATGAGGATGGCTTACAATACTTGTATGTTGAGTAGTAAAGGGAGTAATAATTTATAGTGCAAGTTTTTAAGCCAAGTAGAAGGGCTGAGGTCAGATGGAATCAGAAGATCCTTCTTAGGCTCAGATTTTCCATTTTCTTTACTTTCAAATGGTACTGTTTATAGTGTCACATTTCTGCAGTCACAGTAACAAGCATTTCTACCTACCAGTACCACAGGCAAACTGTGGCTTTAGCAGAGCTTGGAATATAGCTTGAAAACAGCACAAAAAAACATCATTTGTTGTGATTGTTCTTAACTCTTGTCCTAAGCAAGAATTAACTGGCACAGACCTTACCCTGCTCACAGGCCTTGAGTTTACCCCATGAACTTCAGGATTTCCCTTGAAGGAAGTGGGCTAATGCACTTAGTTCTTGAGTCCTGCTGGGGTCAGTGTGTGGCTTCGTTTTGCAGCTAAGGCTGAGCTAATGGCAGTCTGGGCAGAAGGGGAGCCATCCTGATCTTATCCTCCTTCTTCTTCCAGGCTGGGAGTTCCTCCTCCTTTCCCGATGCAGGAGTGTCTCTTGTGTGGTCCAGCAGTGACCCAGTTCAGAAAGCTAAGTTGCAGAAAGTTCACCCTCCAAAAGCAGGAATGCTGTACAAAGAAGGAGACAGAAAGGCACAGCTGGAAGGGAGGTGAAGTGGGGCTGCTCTTTTCAGTAGGTGCTGACTGTGACTAGCATAGGTATGAGAGGAAACCACGCTCAGCATTCACTGCACCAACTGCTGCTTCCCAGTCATGGTCTCCTAAAGAGCTGAATCTTTCCTGCTGCTTTGGTGAGCTGAAATAGCTCAACAAGGTGTCAGACAAGGACCTGTGATGGAGCAGGTGAACAGTAACCTGTGGACAGCAGGGATTAGCTCAACCATTTTGTTAAATCTTGGCTGCACAACTGTTATTTTGGAATTAAAGACAGAGACTGCCAGAGGGAAACGTTCTTTCTGTTGTAATCGCTTCTCTGCTTCACTTGGCACTTGTCTCACAGACTTACTGAAGTATTGCTGTTCACATGGGTAGCTGTAATTTTTTTACTGGCTTTCATCCTGCATCAGAGGAGCAAGTTGAGGCCTGGCCTGAGGCCCTGTCACTGAAATGGAAGGAAGAAACATCAATATTTACAAATGAGACTGAAATATCTGTATCTTTGAAGCATTCTACAAGAGGTTGATGATGATGATTGAAATTTTCAGGAATTGGATTGTGCTGTAGAATTTATAGTGTGTTATCCCAGAGAAGACTTCATCCTATGCGGAGTAGAATAAGACACTGGGATTGGGACAGACTTTCCTTAAAACGATCCTACCCAAAGTAGCATGGAGATAGCACATGCTTCTGTTGTTGTTTAATCCCAGCTGGCAACTAAGCCCCACACAGTCCTGTGAGGTAGGGGAGAGAATCAGAAGGGTAAAAACTAGAAAACTTGAGAGTTGAGATCAAGACAGGTAACAGGAAAAGCAAAATCCATGCAAGCAAAGCAAAACAAGGCATTCATTCTCCACTTTCCACAGGCAGGCATGTGTTCAACCATATCCCGGAAAGCAGGGCTCCATCATGTGTAATGGTGACTTGGGAAAACAGACACATCACTCTGAATGTCCCCTCCTTCCTCCTTCTTCCTCAGCTTTTAAGATGCCATATGGAATAACCCTTTGATCAGCTGGGGTCAGCTGTCCCTGCTGTGTGTCCCCATCTATCTCCTTGAGCACCCTCAGCCTCCTTGCTGGTGGGGTGGGGTGAGGAGGGTGAGGAGCAGAAATGGCCTTGGCTCTGTGCAAGCACTGCTCAGCAACAGCTACAACATTCCTGAATTATCAACACTGTTTTCAGCACAAACCCAAAATACAGCCTGATACCAGCTACTGTGAAGAAAATTCACTCTACCCCAGCCCCAACCAACACACATTACAGCAAAGGCTGTGGCCCAAGACCAGCAGGTGTGCAAGTGGAGAGAGATTTGCCTGGGATAACTGGTTGCTGTATTGCTCTCTGTAATTTAAATTGCATCAGTTTTGCTTATTCTGTCCAAAGTGCGGCCAATCCTGATTCATTATCATAAGCTTAGAGCCTCTTCAACATTTTCCTGCTCATCTCATCTGTCTGATGAGTGGAAACATTGCACTTGCTTGGGACTTCAGTCAAAACACAGGTAGGATTCTTCTAAAATTACCCAGTGGAGTTAATGTGCAGTTAGACTGGTGTAATTAAGCCCAAAATCAGTCCCTGAAGTTGTACTGGCTTGAACACCTGAGGAGACTTCACCCTTACCTGGGGGGAAGGTTGTACAGGGTCAGATCCCGAGGCTGTTGGGGCTGTGCTCTGCACATCACCTGTAGGTGAGAGCCAGATCAAGCAGTCTCAATGCGTCACTGAAAAGAATGTTGAGAAAGGCAAATTTTTTCAGAAGGTAACCGGTGTGAGTGAGAGAAGGTGTCAGAAGGATAAATACACGGGACATTTGATTTATTAAAGGAGGATGTGGAGAACAAAGATAGCAGGACAAAACGTTTCTCTTAGTTACAAAGGGGATTCCAAAGACAAAATTGCTTTTTGAAGGTGCTTTGAAAGAACACTGAGAAGGTATAGGGTGGCTGTACTACCCTCAGCAACCAAAGAGCCTCCCTGAGTGCTACGTTGTTATTTTTTACTGCAACTGTAGCATGTGTTCTACTATATATGAGTGATTACACAAAGGTTTTCTTTAGCTTCAGGTCTGTCTAGGGTGATATTGTGATTTGTTTGACCCTTGTTTCAGCCGGTGACTGCAGCCACGTTGTGCTGAGGCCGCAGTTTCTGCCTCCAGCATGACAACATAGTGGAAACTCAACTGGAATTTGGTGCAGATGCTGTTGTTAGTGCAAGGCTTGGGAGGCTTTTAGAATGTACCACTATGGGTTCAGTAAAGCCACAACCATGTAAGAAATGTTCCCGTGTCATCTAAAATATGTGCCTTGGAGCCTCACCAGGCAGCTGAGGTGTAGGTAAAGTGTAACAGTGAAAATTGGAGTGAAAATAACTTACAGAAGTGTCACTACATGGGGCTGATTACCGGGACGCCTCTCCTGGGCTGCAGGGAGTGCAAATCACAGTTACTTGCAGCACACCTCCTTCGTCCCAGCTTGCTGACTCCTGCTGTTGCCATGCAGAGAAACAAGCGATTGTACAAAGCTGATAATTTTGTGGTTTCTGTCTTTTCCGATTTAGGAAGGCAGCAGTGGATGGCGTGTGACTGATTGCCTCGAGGATTTGGGGAAGAATAAAGTCCATTATGTGTGAGCTGCGCTCTGGGGGCAGTTTGGAGTGAGAGTTGGAGGCAGGCAATAATGGGAGGGAAAAGATTTTTAAAAAGAGTGTGTATGGGTTGCAGGGAACAGGGAGGCTTTTTAGGGTTAGCCTGTGAGCTACATGTGGGGGTGTGACCAGAAAGGAGGAGGCCAAAATAGGTACCGGTGGGATGAGGGTGCAAGGATCAGCCCGGCTGGGAGCCGTAGTGTGGAGGGCTTGAGAGTGTTTGTCGTGGATCTGGCAAGTGGGGCAGTGAAAATGAAGTGTTCAGGCGGTGCGGAGGGGCAGAGCCGGCTGTGAGGGGACAGGAGTGACCTCAGCGAGGCACTGCGACCGTGCCAAGGGCCCTCCCCAGAGCAGGAGCGCTGGGATCGGTGTGTCCGGGGAGGCGGCGGTGGTCTGGGGGGTGTGGGGAAGCAGAGGAGCTCCGCGTGGGTCGGTGTGGGCGGGTTCGCACTGAACAGGGGGCGCGGCTGGATGGAGCCGCCGGTGCGCGGGTCCGCACACGTGGGCCTGGCTGGGCGTGCAGCGCCCACGCCTGTGGATGGATGAACAGACGAGTGGATGTTCGGGAGCGGGTCCGGAGCAGGAGCAGCCGCGGGCAGGGCGGGCGCTGTGAGGGCGGGGCGCGTGCGCGCGCACCCGCCGGGCGGGGCGGGGCCACCCCTGAGCGCCCCCCGGCGCCCCCGCGGCGCCCCCCGGCGGCCGCGCCCGCCGCTGCCGTCCGGGCCCGGGCCCTGCGCTCTCCCGGCCGGTCCTTTCCGCCTCCCCCTCCCCGCCCCGGCCGCTCCGGCCGCCGGGGCCTCCCTCCTCCCCGCCCGCCCATGGATTTCACATAGCAGCCGCCGCCTCCGCCGCCGCCTCCTCCTCCTCCTTCTCCTCCTCCTCCGCCACCGCTCCATGGCGGCTCCGGCTCCGCGGCCGCCCGGCCTGTGCTGCTGCCGTAAGGGCTCCGCGGCCGGGCCGGAGGCGCCGCCGGCCCCGCCGCCTCCTCCCGAGCCGCCGCCGGACGTGGCGTCGGCGTCCAGCTCGCAGCTCTTCAGCCTGCGGCACCTGCACCTGGGGCTGGAGCTGCGGCCCGAGGCGCGGGCGCTGGCGGGCTGCCTGGTGCTGGAGCTCTGCGCGCTGCGCCCGCAGCCCCGCGCCCTGGTGCTGGACGTGCACCCGGCCCTGCGCGTCCTCTCGGCCGCCTTCCGCCGCGCCGCCGCCGGGGAAGCGCCCTGCGCCTTCGCCTTCTCGCCCGCCGAGGCCGCCGCCGCCCCGGCCCCGCCGCCCCCGCCGCCCTGCCCGCCGCCGCCGCCGCCCTGCGCGCCGCCCTGCGCCGCCAGCCCGCCCGCCACCGCCACCTTCCTCTCGGCGCCCTGCATCGCCGCCGGGCCGCTGCCCCCCGCCGCCCCCCCAGGGGACCCGCCCGCCGGACCCCCGCCCGCCGCCGAGCCGCCGCCGCCGCTGCCCCTCTTCGCCCAGCCGCCCTGCTCCGCCTGCCCGCTCGGCTTCAGGGTGGACCCGTTCACCGACTACGGCTCGTCCCTCACCGTCTCCCTGCCCGCCGCCCTCCAGCCGCACCAGCCCTTCCAAATCATCGTCCGCTACACCACGGCCGACGGTCCCGCCGTGAGTACCGGGGGGGTGGTAATGTAGGAAACGGGATCCCGGGGTGGCTGGCGGAGTCCTCCCGTGCCACCCGCGCCTGTCGCGCATCTTTGCTCCTGTTGTGAGTGACCGTCGGGGAAGCGCCCCGGCCCCGCAGCGAAGGCGTTGGGAGGTATCTCACTGGCAGCCCCTCCGTTCCTATCCCCGTCCCCCATGGCCGGGCAGCGCCTGCCCGCTCGGCAGCAGCTGTCCCTGCCCGCAGGGGCACTCGGCGGTGCCAGCCCCCGCCCGCGGTCACCCGCCGCACTCAGCGGCGATGCTCGTACCGACCCAGCCGATCTCCCTCCTGCCTTCCCCCATCTATCTCCGCGGCCCCCAAGGCTGTTCATCCCCCACCACGATAGTAATTTAAAAGTTTTTCGTCCTTTAAGGGCATTACAGTTGTTGACGAGGAGAGGGAAAATTTGTAAACTCTTGCCTCGACTCAGTTCTTCAAGACAAGTTATGTCATCCACAATGCAGGAGTTTCCCTGGGGGTTTTGCCAGGCACTTAAAAAATCAGGCGTTGCACACCCAGGCTGACGTTCCAAAGAGCTGTGGTCAGGAGCTTTGAGAAGAACAGGGGTGATTCCACATGTTCCTACAAGTTATCTGCTGGAAAAAAGGGATGAGAAATGGCCCCAAACACCTGTTTGGATGTGGTCATGGAGGTGCTTCCACGTCTCTGTTGATTAGCTTTCTTCATCAGCGAGATGCTTTGTAAATTCTGTCTCTTCTTTTAAACCCCTGGTATTTAGAAGCAGTTTGTTCCTGGCCTTTTAGGTGCTGCCTAGCAGATCTTGTGCTTTCAAGAAGTTATGACAGTGAAAACAGGAAGTTATCACTGGAATATCGATTCTTTTTGTTACTGTACAGTCAGTTCAGGTTGGGAACTAAACTGATGTGATTTTCATTATGTGCTTCATGAATCTATTTGCAAAAGCAACGTTTTTCTGAGAATATTGCAACTTTGCTGCCTCTGTCTTGCTTAGAGGAATTGACTCAGCCCACTGGTTTGGTGTTGCTGTTGCACTGGTCAAAATCTGTAAATGTGTGGATCTATTCGACTGTTACAAGGTATTTAACAAGAGCAGGAATTGAACATAACAGTTTCTTGGAAAACAGCCCAACAGCAAGTAAACATTAGGCCTGTCCTCATGATAGGAAGGCATCGCGGAATAGAATGAGTTTGCTGGATGTTCTTCTGTCTAATTTCAATACTGCATTGAAGCTCAAGAAATTAATTTCATCCTCAGAATCATCTAGGTAGTCTTAATACATTGGCTCACTCGGAACAGTGAGTTGCACATGAAGGTTTTTATTGACAGAAGTTTCCTGTGGTCACATGGTGCCTTTTTAATGTTTTAGTCCTTCCCTTAAAGTGTAAAAATGAAGTAAGATTCTGGCACTTTTAAATTCAGATCCACTTGGATATTGTTCCATTTCACCTCAGTAACTCCTGGTTTTAATATTTCCTTGTACAATACTCTTCCATGTAGCCCACAGTGAGTTCAGAAGATTCCGTTCTTTATTTTTTTTCCCAAGGCTTGTGAAGAAACCTGTTTCTTTGTCCACTTTCTGCCTTTTTTGTGGTGAGAAAGCTTTAAAGCTAGTTTGGCATTGCTGTGTGCAATCATTCTCAGTCTGGCTGAGCTAGACCTCCCGAAGTACATGATAACACGCTTTCCTCCTCTTGAACAAATTGTTTTATTTTAGGCTGGCCTGTGCTTACCCCTGGTTTTTGCCAGCCCTGTTGCCAAAGGGGCAACCTGTCCTGCTGAGTCTGTGGAGAGATGATCTCAGATGTAGTGCAGTACTCATCTGAGTCTCAGGAATGACCTGAAAACCACTGGAAGGTGCAGGGCACTGGCTGATGTGATGTCCTTTAGTTTCACCTTGCATTAGTGTGTTGCCTCCTTGGCCCCACACACCGTCCCATGTGGATGTCCCATATCTGAGGATGCTAAGAGCAGAAAATTTCTTCCATTCCCTCTATTGTTGTCTTGCTCCCCCTGGATCAGGGGTGAACTAGCTATTCTCGTCCTGTCTTTTGAAGTCTTTATTGTGCCTTTAATAGTGTGTACTGCTTCAGTTGAAATGAAGCTGCAAGGACTCATGTCAAAAGATTATTGATGGTCAGAGTCAGGGGCATGCACTGCCCTTCCTGAGTGATACTGGAAAGCAGAAACAGGCATGCTCACTGACATAAATCCTACTGTGTTTGCTCGCTCACAATTGTAGGTTTTGGCTGGCAGAATATTTGTCCTCGAGTAGCACCTGTTCTAGCCCTTCATGTTCAGTATGCTGAACTATTTTTTTTGGATCCAAAGTGGTTTGGTGCTATTGTAGTGCTCTCTGTCATTGCTGTTTTCCAGCCCAGTGTTGCACTTTATCAGGGAAGAGTAACCCATATATGTATAAGGGTGAACTTGTTTATATTTGTGTCTTGTAAGTATCCTGTCCCTTCCTTTCCTCTGTGTCAGTGAGGCAACTTTACAATGTTAGACCTCTCTCTTCTAGGAGTTCTGTTTTCTTTGGCCATTCTAGGAATATATTCTCCTTAGGTAAGGGTTTATTTTCTGTGGGACCCTAAACATACTTATAGGACCTATAAAACAGTAAATTCATGTTGCAGTGAAGTGTGAATGTGTTGGCAGTAAGATCAGCAGCAGAGATACTAGAGTGTTTAAAATTGGAAACCTTTTGTCTTGATATACTTGGTTTGAGCCATCTGGATATGTTATTCGACTGTTCCATTATTTCTCATGTGGAGGAAGGAGCCAAGATCTTTGGTTGTTTGATGGACATTGAGAGACAGCTGAGAGATTAAATCTGCCTTTCACAGAGCATTCCAGCTCCCTGTGCTGTTAGGAAACCATATGCTTGGTACATCACCAGTTTCCATCAGAGGCAAGACTGTCGTCATCATTTTGTATCTCTCACAGTGTGGGCTGAAGGCACACACTGATCAGGTGTGTCAGGGACTGTAGTTCTGCTCTTCCTCCCCTTCTTTTCCCTCACCCCTCAAGTAATACTCTTGCATGATATTTTCGTTTTGGGTTTTTTTTTTTTCCCTAGAGAGAAAAATTTACACCTCTCTCTTGCCCACTGTGTCACACCTCTGATTTGGCAGTGTACATCTTAACATCAGTTCTATTTTCTTTCCTTAAATGAAAATGTGGCTCTGTGTTCTGGTATAAAAAATACCAGAATAGCATTTCCTCGTCCTCAGGATTTAGCAAAAAGGACAGCCCTCTTTGCAGTGCTGAAACTTCTCAGGTGTTCCTTAGATTTGTCTTGAATTTCTCAGTCCCCCTACAGTGATGTCCTGCCCAGGTGTGCCTTGCTCCTGTAACATGCTCTGCATCTCAGGTGTTTGGTTTACTTTGTCATCAGATGGAGTGGCTTGTTTGCCTAGAACAGAAGCTGTGTCGTTGGAGCTCTTCCTGGGACCTTCATCAGTAATACATGTAGAAACATGGAGGGATTTAAAACTGAAAGAGGCTTAGCTAATTGCCTTTGTTGTCTGCCAGATTTGGGTAAAAGATTATGATCTAAGTCAATAAAAATTATACTCTTGGCAGGTGTCTTATAAAGTGGGAGCTTCTTGCAGTATGTGGGCAGGGTGAAGCCTGGGCTGCCCAAAGCCTCTGTTCAGCAGAGGAACCATGCAGCAGGTTTTTTTT